TTTTTCATAGATTTTAGACCTTTTTCATGGATTTTGGACTATTTTTCATGAATTTTGGGCCATTTTTCATGAATTTCGAGTCATTTTTCATGGATTTTAAGCAATTTTTCACGGATTTTGGACCATTTTTCATAGATTTTGGACCTTTTTCATGGATTTTGGACCTTACCTGGATTTTGGACCAGGTTCTAGAAGCCTCTAAACGACTCTAGGAGACTCTGGTAGTCTCTAGAAAATTGTCGAACCCTTCTTTAGAACCTTTTGGATGGTTCTCGTTGATTCTAGGAGACACTCCTGAATGGTTTACAGGGCCGCCCAAGAAGGTTCTAGAAGGATCTAGAAGCTTCCAGAAGGCTGTAGAAGATTCTAAGAAATCTCAGAAGCTGCGTCAAAGTGAAAAGTGCATCATTCGGATGGAAGGAAGAATTGAAATCTGGGACCTCCACTCTTGAATAAAAAAGGGCGCGCGAAAACCCTTTCGAATGGGGTTTCCGGCCCCCGCACACTGGCGGTTTAGTCACCCTTGAACGTTTCAAATAGCCCCCCAAAACTATTAAAATTCGTCAAAATTGACTTTTGAAGTGCTTCAATTTTGAGCCAAACATCGGATAGGACACATTTTGAGCCCCGTTTGAACACGCAAAACTTTCTAAACCAATCAATCACTGCTGACTGATGAACTGGCTGATAAGAAGAGCCCCCCGCACGCCCTAGACCTCCGTCACAGTGATAAGGGCATTTTTTGGTCGTTGATAAGCACTGAATCAATATAATCGTTGATTTTTTTTCTCTCTCGCTAATTTGAAATTCCAATTATCACTGTTAATTTGTATCAAGTGATATTAGGAATACAGATATCAACAATCACATTCAAATACAGCGAACCGGCAAAAATTGGACCTAAAAATTGTGAAATCCATGAGCAATGGTCCAAAATCTATGAAAAATGACTCAAAATCTATGAAAAATGGTCCAAAATCCATGAAAAATGGTCCAAAATTCATGAAAAATGGCAAATGAAGCGAAGGAAATCGCAAAAAATATGGATCATTTAGCCCCCTTCATTCTGGTCCATAGATCCTCAAAAATCCCAGTTTTTAGAAAATTCAATTCTCCGCGAGGACTACACGGAGGCTAGATTCTAGAGCTAAGCTTTGAAGAGTATTAGACTATGCCAAATGCTAGTTTTCTACTGCTTACTACGGCTAGATTCGCCTTAGAGCGCATTTGCATATAAGCGTCTGCAGTCTCTTGGCCAAAAAAATGGCTTGAAAGTCAAATTTCAGCTCCTCCGTTTTTCAAATGAAAAAAGGGAGGGAAGGAAAAAAAAACAAGGAAGAAATTCTTGTTTTTTGTCGCTCAAAGTCTCCAGAAGACGTCACGCCTTCTTCTACTACTTCCACTGTGATGATGTAGAAGACGGCGCTTCTATCTACTGAATACAACTCAAAAACGGGCGAGTTAAGCACTCGGCGTTTTTTCTCTTCTTCTTCTTAGAAGTAAAAAAAAATGGGGAAGAAAAAGTTGTCGAGTTTTCTTCTTCTTCTTCTTCTGATGGGGGGGACCC